TCACATTGAGAGGATGTCCCTAGGTGCTGGACAGTTGAAGGTTTGTATCTGAGTTGGGGATTGGAATTAAGAAGAGTGAAGAGTGAGGGTGTGTATGTGGGGGGGTGGGAGGATGTCTGAAGACAAGATTGCATTTATAGAGCGCCTTTCACATCGGGAGGACGTCCCAAGGCGCTGGACAGCTGGGTCGGGACCCGAGCAGGGAGGAAATGGTCAGGATAAGGGGAGGGAAGGGAGGGAGTGAGGAGGGGGTAGAGAGTCAAGAGGGGAGCTGAAGGCACAGTTGAAGAGAAAGGTCTTGAGACAGGCCTTGAAGGAGGAAAGGGAGGAAGCAAGGCGAAGGCACTGGGGGATGGAGTTCCAGAGCCTAGGGGCTGAGAGGCTGAAAGCCCAGCCACCGATGGTAGGGCGGTTAGGGCGGGGGATGTGGAGCAGACCGGAGCCAGAGGAACGGAGGGTACGGGCAGGTACGTGGGGGGATAGTAGGTCGGAGAGCTAGGAGGGTGCAAGTCCGTGAATGGCCTTGTAGATGAGGATGAAGATCTTGAATCCGATCCTCTGGGGGATGGGGAGCCAGTGGAAGCGAGCGAGGGCGGGAGTGATGTGGTCGCAAAGCCTGGTGCAGGACAGTACATGAGCTGCAGAGTTCTGAATGACCTGCAGCTTGTGGTGGGAGGTGCCGGGAAGGCCGACGAGGAGAGAGTTCCCGTAGTCCAGCCTTGAGGTGACAAAGAGGAAAGTCGAGGAAAGTCTTGAAACGGGCTATGAAGGAGGCAAGGGAGGGTGAAAGTGCAGCAGTTCTGGGATGAAATACCAGAGGATGGGGGCAGAAAAGCTGAATAAACAATCATCGATTGTGGGGAAATCAGTGTGGAGGTCATGGAGCAGGTCAGTGCCCACCGACCGGAGTGAGCAGGCAGGTAGGTAAGGTCGCAGAGGTAGAGAGGGGTATTCATGAAGGGTTTTGAAAGTGAGGATGGGGATCTTAAACTTGAACCTCTAGGGGATGGGGAGCCAGTGAAGCCGGCGAGGATGGGGAGTGATTGGCTCACAGAGCTTAGTACGGAAGAGAAAATGAGCTGCAAAGTTCTGAATAACATGCAGCGTGTGGAGGAACAGTTGGGAAGTTTGGTGAGCAGGGAGTTAGCATAGTCAAGTTCACATGGATGGGAATGCCAGATTCCAGCACCATGGAAACAAAGGCAATGTTGTACAGAGGGGAGCTATCAATTGTGGTCAGCTAGATCAAACAGAATAACCACTCCAGGCCAACAGAAGAAAGGAAACCCAGTCAATAAGGAGCAGCTCCAACCGGGCTCAATATGGCAAAGGGCAAACAGCATCTAAGCACCTGTGTTCTGGATGGAGAGCAGGGTCTGCCGGTCTAAAGAGAAAACTAAAGAGAAGACTGCAAAGTTTCACGCTGAGTGGTGGTAGATGTTTGATAACTAGAAGTCTGTTAGTAAATATATATATAAATATACATGTGACGTTCACTTACCTGTGATTGTGTGAATGGATGTAAGGGGTTTTCTATTAAAATTAGTGAATGTGGCTAAACTGTGTTGTAGTAGTCACACCTATCACACCTGTGGCTAATCAGTGATTTTTATTGGCAACATTGCACTAGTCCTCCCAGTCTCCACTTATCTCCCAATGGATCAATTTCAATATCTTCTCTCTCACATACAATTCCCTGGCACCTCCTTATTTCCCTGATCTCCTCATAAATTGCTGCTTCTTTTCCTGTCAGCGCCTCCAAATCCCAGGCTCTGAAAGCATCGCCATCCTTGGTTGCACACTCCACCTTACTAAGCCAGTCCGGAACCTTGGCGTCTTGTTTGACCATCAACTATCCTTCCTATCCCACATCTGCGCCATCACACACTCTGCCTTCCCCCACTTCCGGCAACATCGCTCGGCTCTGCCACTGTCTCACACCACAGGCCACTACACGCATTCATTACATCGAGGCTTGACGATGCGAACTCCTTGCATGTCGGCCTTCCCAATGCCTCCCTTCATAGGCTGCAAATCATCCAGAACTCTGTGACCCTATCACCCGTATCCTCGCCCGACTCCACTGGCTTCCCATCACACAGAAGATACAGTTCAAGATCCTGGTCCTCACCTTCAAAACCCTCCATGGCCTTGCTCCCCCCTATCTCTGCGAGCCCCTAACGCCTACTATCCTGCCCGCTCCCTCGCTCAGTGGGCTCCTTCCTGTTTCACGTCCCCCGCCTCACCTGCCCCACTATTGCCAGGCGGGCCTTCTGCCACTCTAGTCCCCACTCTCTGGAACTCCATCCCGCAGTCCCTCCGCCTCGCCCCCTCCCTTGCCTCCTTCAAGACCAATCTCAAGACCCTCCTCTTCGACTGTGCTTTTCATCACCCTGCTTCCTCCCACTACCCTCCACATTCCCCAATCCTGAGCCCCAGTTTGGGTCTGAATCTCTGACTGTCCAGCATCTTGGGACGTCCTCCTAATGGGCAAGGTCTATACAAATGTAATTTTGTTATTGTTATTCTTTTGCCTCATCCGTTCAGCTAACTTGGGCTTGCTGCGTGTCCCAGCTCTCTCTGCAACCATCAGTAGCCGGTCCCTAACCTCTGAAATCTCCTCCCTTTGCCACTTCATCTAGTTTGCTCTCTTACTGTCTTCAAATCCTGTCTCAAATCCTACCTTTTTGAAGATGCCTATGATCACCTCCCCCTGTCCCCTCTCCCTCACTTGGTGTCCGACCCCATCGCTGTGAAGTGCTCTGAGACTTTATCCATTTGAAAGGTGCTATATAAATGCAAAGTGTTTTTGTTGTTGAGTAACTACTGATCTGGTTAAACAGGGAGTGACCATGCATTTGAGCATGCACAGCGCAGAAAAGTGCATGTTTTATTCACAGAGCAGGAACAGTAAAATACAGAATTGTTGATTCTCCTTTCATTTGGTTTAATTTATTAATTTATTGTGTAGCGCAGTGGTTAGAGCGCTCGCCTCGCAAATGAGAGACCTGGGTTCGATTCCTGGGAAGGCAAAACCTTGGGCAAGTTTCCTTACTCCAGTCACTTCAATCCACGACTGTGGGACACTCCTGTGCGCAATTGGCTGTTGCGTTTTGCCGACAAATATACAGTCAATTCACTTTACAGTATACTCTTGAAACGCTTTGAGACGTCTAGAAGATGTGAAAAGCGCTACATCAAATGCAAGGATTGATTATTTATTTAACAATAGCAAAGGATTAAGAGAGTGGCCTTTGATCAATCACAACAATAGTTCTAGTTTACTCTGACACAGGATTACAAAAGAATGCCAATATACACAGGCATCTTTTTAATTGAAAAGTGTAACCTGGAGTTCCGCATATCAGAGAATATTGGTGTGATTTTCAGAAAACTCCCTCCATTGTTTGTGTTGGATTCCCACAATTGAAGGCACAGAAACTTGCTTGTCTTTGAATCAAACACTGAGCTCCCCAGATTGGTATTACTGAACATTATACGTCTCCTCCCACGTGTTTTTCGCAAAAATCTTGTTAAAAATGTTACTAAAGGACCATATGCTTCTCTTAACTACTTGCTTTCACTGTAATTTTTTGTAAAGAATGTGGCAGCTAATTTGCATGCAGCAATGTCCCACAAACAGCCATGATGTAAAAGACCAATTTTATCTGGGAGATTGTTGGCCACGACACTGGGAGAAACTCCCTTCTTTTTATGAATAGAGCATGGGATCTTTAACCATCCACTTGTACAGGCAGATGGGACCTTGGTTTAGCATATCAAGAAAGACAGCATCTCTGCCAATGTGACTCTTTCCCAGCAAGGCATTGGAATGTCAGCCTACACTATGAGCTCAAAGTCCCAACATGGGGCTTCAACCTGGAACCTTCTGACTCAGGGGCAAGAGTGCTATCAACTGAGCCAGTTGGACACCTAAAATAAAGTTTGAGGCAAGATAATAAAATGGGTTGCTTAAATAGCATTAATTTTCAAACAAGTCTTATTCTCCCTGCCATCCTATTTGTCCTAACCTATGAACCGCCTGTGACCCCCTTTAACCCTACCAACCCAGCTACTCATTCACTCAGTGAACACTGGTCTGCTTCATGACCCCACTCTATCTGCCCTCAATTGACTGGTGGATATTAAAACTGGATAGTGCAGAGTTGGAATAATTCACAATGCATACAGCAGCAGATTCAACCTTGATTAGAGTAAAAGTTGTGTTTCCAGTGACTGTGTGTTGACATTCACATGGCTAGGAAAGCATTAATCCTTTGAGTTCTAAACTTTTCTTGAGTTTCGGGCACCCTGTTTCCACCAATAGATTCCATTTGGCAAGACAAAACTTTCTGACAAGGCAGTCACAATGCAATCTAAACTAAAAGTCCCAACAGAGCTCAAAGCACAAAGCTCAAAGCATTGAAAACCTCATTGAAATGAGTAAGTCACATAACAACGATGAAACAAATAGTTTCACTTAACATAAAAAAGGCTATAGAAACAAAGAAAGAACTTGGACTTTACTTCATGTCTAGTTACCATCAGGAATGAATTTTGCTTGTTGGCATTACCGAGAGGTCTCTGTCATGTGCTATTTGGTAATAACAGTGGCCTTTTAACTATGTCTTTATAATAATTGTCATGATTTTCCATTACAAAGATGTGATAGACTCACTGTTACTTTTGTTCTTTGTAAGAATGTGCCAGGAGTTATTAGGTACTTCCATAATCCATGCTTGGAATAGGAGTGTCCTATTTACATAATAATAGTTCTAATATTTGATCAGAAATGTACTTTTGCAAGCATTTTTTCGGCATACACTTTACCATTACAATTGAATTTAAACTTCCTCCAAACATTTTTCTGCAAAAAGTTACCCGGAACGTCGATGGCACTACCTCCACATATTTCACGAATGAACAAGGTTTTGGATAAGTTGAACTGAAACAAAGCAGAGCCAAAACAAAACAAAAACACAACAAAAAAGAGACTGTACCTGAACAGCTGACTCCCTGAGCGATCAGGCCCCACATAAAGTTGGCACAATATTCACACCAGTGAGGACCTCGGAATGTATGGACCTGAAATGTGGAAAGGTGGTTAAAGAATTGAGCACTTTAGGCAGATGGCCTGACAGATGGAAAAGACAAAAGCAACTGGTCACAAAGCACATCTTTGGGATCAACATGTGAAGCCTTCTTTATCTCTACTTCTTTACAGCTGGGCTCTTGAAAACCCCTTTCTTTTTAACAATAGGACTTGTTGGTGCATAAACACAACACGTTTTTCTTGCTTTCACAAACTTTCAGTGAATCTGCTGAATCAAACTTTCAGTGAATCTGGGCAGATAGCACTTAAGATAGTCAAAGTTACTTTTGGAACCAACAAACAAGAATTTCTGCATTAAGTGGATAAACACATCTGATCAGGTAGCAGCAAAGCAGGATTTTCAAAGTGGTGGGAAGTTTTATAATGTTTTTTTTCTAAACTTGAACTTTAGAAACATACATATAACATTCAGTTGTTTTACATCCAGGCAGTAAGTATCTTGTGGAGATATCAAATATGTTTTCTGGACAGCTGTTCAGGCAGCCACTGTCTACTGATATGAGCAATATAATTGTTACCATAACAATAGAACTACTTGAAGCAGTATATTAATCATTGCATTTGATGTAACATTGAAATGTTGCAATGCACTTGCAATAATTATTGTTAACTAGTGACAATGTATTTACAGCACTCCGAGAAGGGCTCTTTATAAATACATGTGGTTGTTGTACACAAAGAGGGTAGCCCACAAATAGCCAAGAGGAGAATGGCCAATTTTTCTGGAGAATTGTTCACCAGAACACTGGGAAAAACTCTTCTCTTTCGAATAGTATTATTGGATCTTTAAAGCCCACTGAACAGAAAGACAGGATCTTGGATTAAAGTCTCATCCAAAGGACTGCATCTCCAACAAGACAGTGCTTCCCAACACTGCTCTGGAGTATCAGTCTGGACTGGGAGCTCAAAGATCCCAACGGGGGGCTTGAATACATAATCTTCTGACCCAGAGGCAAGAAACCTTCCAACTGAGCCAGGCTGATTATAAATACAATATATTACTTAACTAAGTATGGACACCCAGCCTGCCTCCAGTCACTGAGGTACTCAAAGGGGTGTAAGGGGCAGATGCCCATGGTGTATTGATGATGACATCTGTATTGGAGCCCTCACTGGGTTTCTGATGGGTGTGAGGGATCATTGCAAGAATAGTCCCTTTTCTAAAAATCATCACATAGTTTTAATAACAGCAGCCCTGCCCAACACATGGGAACAGATTTGTATCACCTGTTCCTGAAATTCTGATAATCATATAAATGTTCATATATAAATATAAATGTTCATTAATGTTCATTAAAAATGTAAGCAAGTATCCGAGTGCCTCCGAGCTTCCTAATCTCAGCAGCCCTGAGATTTAGTTAAACAAATCTATTTAATTGATAAAGTGCAAACTTTGCAGATTTATTGTGGCTGTAATACTGCTCATGGCAATACAGCATTGGTATCAGCCGTGCCACAATGAAAGCTGAAAGTTTTACTCACCACTCACACCAATATCAATTGGGATATTTCAGAATTCATGCACAGATGTTCAAACGGAGATATAGACCATATGGGTTTCTGCTCTCCAGGACTGTCACATAATAAAATACACAGTCACTACACTTTACAGTGCTCTGAGACTCTACCTCACGCGAAGGACCTATGTAAATGCATGTTGTTGTTACAATATATCCTATAAAGCTCTTTGCGACATCTTCCTGACCAGAAAAGGTGCTTTACCAGAGTAAAGATATTATTCATAATCAAAAGCAACACAGAAGAGCAGCGCAATTTTCCATAAATAAAAAGGCAGCCCCCTTTATCCAATCTTTAAATTAGCAACAGGATTCACTCCAAGTAACACACTGTGGTCAATGAAGCAGCAACACAGGACACCTTGCCTACATTGATTCTGACACTGTTGCTCTTGCCCTGGGAAGCTGCACTTTGGCGGCAGCATAATCAAAAATTGCGTGCGGCAACTTGACAAAAGTGGAGCATTAACAACAATGAAAGCGTCACAACAGCTTTCAAACTGGAAGTTAAAAAACTAGTTATCAAAAACTGCGGAAAACTTGATTGTCTCTCGATGGAGGTTGGAGCTCTGCCCAGTCACGGCATTATATTCAAATAGTGAGGAGTGCTCAAGGGGTGTGGCCTAAGTGACTTTAGGGGATAAGGATTAGAAACTACTTTGCAGCAGTTCTAAATCTGGCTTGGCATATGGGGCCCACAGGGTCAGACAGGGAGAGCACGCCTCACCAAGCCTCATTTATACAATATTATGCCAGATGAGCTGAATATCTCTGTAACAGTTTGATGCCATGATATAGAATTTGCTAATGTTTACACTGGCAGAATTATGCTCAACCTTCATGGTTCAGTCCTTGAATGGTTTCGATCCACCCTCTCACACCGTCTCCACTTCATCTCCACAAACATCTCCTCTAGCCCCCACCCCGTCTTGTGCGGAGTTCCTCAGGGCTCTGTCCTTGGTCCCCTCCTTTTCAAAAATATGCTCCCTCTTGGTGACATCAAACGATTACATGGGGTCGATTTCCACATTTATTTCTCTGCCACCACCCTCAACTCCAGGACCATTGTGCTACTGACTGCACTGACACACCGCAGGCCACTGAGACCCTCATACACACATTCAAAACATCCAGGCTTGACTACGCAATCTCCATGCTTGTTGGCCTCCCCAACTCCTCCTTCCATAGACTTTAGATCATCCAGAACTCTGCAGCCCGTGTCCTCTCCCACACCAGGCTCGTGACCCTATCACTTCCATCCTCGCCCAACTCCGCTGACTTCCCATCACACAGAAGATAAAGTTCAGGATCCTGGTCCTCACCTTCAAAACCCTCCATGGCCTTGCTCCCCCTTACCTCAGTGACCTCCTAACTCCTTACCAACCTGCTCGCCCCCTGCTCAGGGGGCTCCAGCCTTCTTCATGTCCTCCACCTCTCCTGCCCTCCCATTGGTGGGTGGGCCTTCAGTCATTCTGCCACCACCCTCTGGAAATCCATCCCGCAGTCCCTCCGCTTCGCCCCCTCCCTTGCCTCCTTCAAGACCCATCTCAAGGCCTTCCTCTACAACCGTGCTTTTGATCACCCTGCTCCCCACCTACCCTCCACCCTCCCCGATCAATCCCCCCAACTCAGTCTGTTCAGCACCTTGGGACATCCTCCTGACGTGAAAAGCACCATACAAATTTAATTTTGTTCTTGTCTGTTCAGGTAGAAATCCCATGGTACTTTTTGAAAAAAGAACAGAGTTTCCCAATATCTTGACCAACAATCCCACAATATAATATATAATATATAAAAGGTTATTAACTTCACGGTTATTTGTAGGGAATTCCTGTGCACAAACTGGATGCCGTGATTGCCACAATGTGTCACTCCACTTTACAGAAATATTTGGTGACGAGCTTTGAAATGTTTTAATGTTATAAGGCGCTATGTCAAATGCAAGGATCATTACTATCTTTTCTTATGCCAGTTAACTAATATTTACAGTGCCAGTAGTATCAAACAAATGTTATGCAAAGCACAATTTGATGGCAGTAGGAGCTATAAATAAATACATTTCTTTTCAAAAAAAAATGGGCCAAGGGCAGTTAATTGGGAAAATAAATTACAAATAGTGAGCTCGGCTTGATATGTAAAGCAATGCTCTCGTATTGGTGGTGGTTCGGCCCACTCTTGGTGCTTGCTTGACTGCCTTCTGGAGTCGGCGGTGAATTTTCCAGGAACATATTTTCTCCCCTGAATTAAGGTCCCATCTGCCAGTTCAGGTGGACGTTAAAGATCCAAGGGGAATATTTAGAAAGAGAAGGGTGTTCTCCTCTGAATTGGCCATTTTTTTTAGTGGCAGGGTTTCTTTGCCTTTTGCCTCCGCGAGGAAGGGAATGACTGGCCAGCACAAAGAGATGCGCAGATCCACCTTTAACACTCGCAGTTACTACAGTACACTTCTACTGTAGAATAACTGGCTTCCCCAACATGTGTGCAGTACGCAGCAAGTGGACTAGTCTATTGCAACCACCCTCCCAAGCGTTATTAGCTCTAGAAATTATTGTGAGAGTGATCATTGTCATTTTATGCTAGAAACTAGAGATGACGTGAGTGACAACTGAAGCACGACCGGGTCTATTTTTCTTTCGTGGATTAAATATTATGCAGGGTCTATGTTTAGGGACCTAAAACACTGCGTCAAAACAGGGCGGTCCTGTACTTTGTGGGAGGTGAAAACAGCGAGGATTCTCCTGGCCGCAAAGGCTCTGAATCCTTTTCATCTGTGTATGTTATCTGTGTATCTGTCTGTAGTCAAATCAACTGGATATGTGGGGTTGTGGGAGGAGAGCTGCAGGAAGATCTCCTAACTGATTAGAACACCAACTGCGTACTAGCTGTATAAAAGGTAGCTGTCTGGACTCAGGTCAGTGGCATTTTTTGTGATTTTCTTTGGGTCAAAGGCAACCACAGAGAAGAAACAAAATGTGGATTTAAAAAAAAAGAAGAATGCTGATTTTGAACAAGTTGCTTTCAGACTAAAATATCATCCATCCAAACAGTGAATCAATCTTTACAGCCCCCAGTGTATGCGTTGTTCCACATCCTACACCAGCCATTCATATTGTTATCTGACTCCAATTGACATTTAAAATGTGAGCAGCTTCGAACTATAGTTGGAATGAAAGGACTTCTGATTTCAGCTGAGACTTTGCAGATTTCAAAATACTTAATTTCTAAACTAAAACAAATCCTTGGATTTGATATAGCTCCCTCCTCTTCACAGGATTCCATATAATGTATCGTGACTCTATTTTGTAGGAAATGCGACAGTCAATTTAGCACAGTGATATCACCCAAAAAAGGCATGAAGTGAATGTCCAGTCTACCTAGGGGATAGGACACCAGTAGAAATTTCCTTTTCGAATAGTGTCATGGGATCCTCAATGTCCACTTGGACAGGCAGATGG